ACAGCCCCGCAGGGTCCCCCCGCAAGTCCGTGCCGGCCGTGAGGGCGTCCCCGCACGTGCCCCCACGGACCTACAGCAGCATCCTGAGACATCTGAACTAAACATCAGCAGACGTCTGTGTCCTTCATGAAATGCGTCTTGTCTTTTTTATTCCTAGTGTTTAAAGTCATTTTTTTTTTACTTGAATCGGATGATGTCCTTTAGTAAGGATTTTATCAGTTCTCGGTTTTTAAAAATCCACACTTTTTTTCTACATGTGAGATCGTTTTCATTTTACCTGGCATGTCGTTTGCACACAAAAAAGAATCGAGCAAATAATGCAATGCAGGACGAGAAGAAAGAAATGCACTAAGACCAGTAAACACGTTCTCTCCTAGAGCAGTGATGTTTTACAGGAATCAAACTCTTGCCTTGACATTTACACAGTGAGACTACAGAACTGCATGGAAATATCTATTTTTTTCCTAGAACATTTTTCATTCATTAGTATTTTCAAGTTTTTCATACTGTACACATTTCTTAAAACACATGATACCAGCAGCAACTGAAAATGAATGCCGGAATTGGTACACATGTGTTATCTACCTCAAGGTAACTGACGTCTGTGCGGGACCTCCCGACCCGCAGCGCTGCACAGGCGACTCGTGCTCAGCCAGCGCCCACGGTAGGACTGTGTGTCCCCAGACCATTGTCGTCCGTCCGTCCTGGTGTTCATTCTTAGAGTGAAGTGTTGATACATCACATCTTATTTATTTTCGCAAAGCAGTATATTTTCTGTATTTAATGATAAAAGTTAACTTAGTTTTAAAAAATTTATTTGCAACTACACTTTCTGCATTCGGCACTATGGTGGTCGCCTTCCTAGCTGAAGTCCCGTCAGCTCTTCACGTACTGAAGTGTTCGTTTGGAATATGGTACTCACTGTGTATAGGAATTTGTACTTTGGAGGTGCTTGATCTATCTACAAAGAAAAATTAGGAATTACTTTATTATAAATGCTCCTACAAGTCTTTATTGTGTTTATTTTTTAAAAAAGCTGTACCGTTAGACTCGTGTGCATGGAAGTAACTGAGGTGCATCATATTGTAGTTTAACAGTGTACATGGTAAGACACTTTCTGTTCTCACTGTGTATTTTTGCCGAATGATCTGCTCCTGTCCCAGGCAAGCATGAATAGTTAGGTTCAGCATAGCATGTGGCATCACAGTCTCTTAGTATAATTGTTTCATCTGTTTTACTTTCCTGAATACTGTCTGTACCCTTGGCTAAAATAAAACCTGCCCAGCACACACGGCTCCTGTCTGGCTCTTTCAGTGGCACACGCCCTGCTAGAAGAAGGGGTCAGAACCTGGTGACTGACTGACCACACTGCCGCGGGACAAGGGCTGACCTCTCTCAGCTGCGCAGAAGCTGGATGCGGAGTCGGCCTTGCACACAGCTTCTCCCTCCCGCTCTCTGGCCGCAGCCTCCCGGCCACCGGCTGGGCTGAGACCTGGGCTTCCCCGCTTGGCCTCTCCCCTCCCTTCCCGCTTCTGCAAATCCAGGTGCGTGCACAGCATCCCGAACTGTGGCTTTCAGGTGACCCTGGACCGGGGCTCTGCTCTGCAGCCACGAGTCGGTTCCTGGGGCTGAGGGGAGATTACCCGGGAGGGCTGGGCTGCTGTGGTTGGAACCGGGTGTCCTGAGCCCCATGGACCCGCAGGACAGCACCTGTCGTCTTCCTGTCCTAGCTGCGACCCCACCCTTGCTGCTGGCCAGAGTCCGCTGTGCCTTCTGCCCTTCTTGGCCCCTTGGTCCCTCGGCGGAGATGGGGTCAGGCTGATGCTTAGCGACATGCGGCACCACCAGGAGCTGGTGCTGAATGCATCTCAAGTCCATGCCGTGCCGCCCTGTGTTGGCCGGAGTGTGTGACCTCGTGAGCACGAGAAGCTCTCTCCCTCCAGCCTGCCCACCTCGCAGGGCCCGGGTTTGTGTTTCTCCTTAGGAACGGCCCTGAGGTCCTGCCTGCCCTGCCACAGCCCTTCCCCTGGGGAGCTGGGCTGAGTTTGGGGCTGAGCCAGGCACAGCGCACTCCGAGATCGCGTGGGGCTGCGAGGGCACCACGCAGGAACAGCCTCTTGCCGTCGCCCCTGCGGAACGGGGTTTGTGCACCAGGACTGCACATAGCGAGACCCCTCCCCACTGGTGACCTCAGCTGTGGCAGGCGCATCTCGCCACCTTGGGAGGCTGGAGTGAGCCTCAGTGTCGGCCTCTGGGGTGCACAGTGCTTGAGAGACAGCTCTCACTGACTAGACCCCCATCACCAGGGTCTGCGGCTAGGCCTTTGCACTGAGCAACTTCCCCAGCCCTTCTGTTTGATTTTGAGACAGGGTTTTAGTTTGTTGGTAAGTTGGCCAGGCTGGCCTTGAACTCGCAGTCCTGTCTCAGTCTCCCAGAGTGCTGGGTCACAGGTGTGCACTCCTATACCCAGTTCTTCTGAAATTATTTTAGCACATGTTCTGTTCATGCATGGGGCCCTTGATGGCCCAGCACCCGGGGCAGCCAGACAGCAGCTCCACTGCACCAGGAAGCCCTGCCGAGCCATCGCGCTGCACCTGCAGCCTTGTGTGCGCTGGGAGGCCGGAGCAGGCGGGAGTCAGAGCGGCGGGGGTCAGGGCTTCCCACACAGGACTCCCTCCTGTCTCCTCGGCTTCAGGTGGTTCTTCCTCACAGGAGCCCTCGGTTCGGAAGTGCACTTCAGGGGGGCGCTGCCCCTTACTGGGTGAGGCGCAGTGCGTCTGATTGCCCTCACCCCACGCCTCATGGTGGCACTGCCCACCCTCCCGTCCATTGCCCTCCGAGTGCCAGGAAAGGGCTTGAGCTCCGGAGTGGGCTCTGGGCACAGACACGGCTGCCCGCCCGTCCTGGGTCCCGGTGACCTTTGGTCGTGGTAGCCTGCGCTCCTCCCACGCGGGCAGTTCACTGGCGTCCAGCCTGCCCTTCCTGGTGGTTGGCGGAGAAAGGGGCGTCGGGACCCGGGGTGCTTCCCTCTGAAAGAGCAGCCCGGCGGTGCTCTGCAGGTGGTGAGCACAGATGCCGGGCTGGATGGCAGCCATGGCTCCATCTTCCAGTCTCAGGCCGATGGCTTCTGGCCAGACATGAGCCGCGGGGCTGGTCCTGTCCACGGCCGCCCTGCTCAGTGCGCACCTGCAGGACGTGACCCACCGCCCAGATGTGGAGCCGGCCTTGTCCACACGCTACCCTGGCCACCTGCTGCCTGCTGTCCCCATTCCTGGCTGAGTCCAGTCCCCCTCACCACCCCACCCTGCTTGACTGCCTCAGTGCCGGTGGCTTCCACCCGGTTCCCTGATTTGTGCCCTTTCTCTGGGGTTGCCATGTGGCTCTGGGTTGTCCCCAGCCCTTCAGACAAGCCCAAACCCCAGGTCACTTTGTGCTTGCTTGGTACGAGTCTGCTCCGCTGTCACCTGTCTGAGTGGGCCTGGCTGGTGTCCGCACAGCCTTCCCGCTGCACCTGTGCCCTTGTGTGGGAAGCCCCTGCAGCACGGGTGAGCTGTCTTCTCTGAAAGGGCTGGGGCTGTGGCTTCCTCCCCATGGCATCCCTCACCCCCCGACACTGATCGGTGTGTGGCAGCAGAAGGAAGGTGTGAAGGGCACCAGTGCTATCCCCGGTCCTGCTGAGTGACACCCTGCTAGTACCTGGAGGTTCGCCTGCTCTGGGGACCCAGCAAGGCATTCCTAGTTCTCCCACTTCATAGAATTTGCCAGGGGTCTGTGACTTCGGGGGGCCCTGGCTGGGACTCCCCAGAACCCTCAAGCTCCAGGTTGCAGTGCCAAGCAACAGGACGTTCTCAGGAAACCCAAGTCTGGTCTGGCCGGTTTATGTTCTGATTGCATTTCACGTGTGGGTGCAGCTCAGGTTGGCAGTTGCTGTGCTCCTGAGTCAGTGCTGCGGGCTCCCGTCCCCAGCTGGGGTGACTGTACTTGCCAGGACTCTACACGGTACCGTGACCCAGTTAGGGCCAAGCCACGCGGCTGTTTCCAGTCATCCTGTGTAAGGAGCTGGGCCCGGGTTATTCGTCCCATCCAGGGTCCTTGGCAACAAAGCCACCTGTGCTGCCCTTGAAGAAGAGGACGCTTTCAGGGTTCGGGTGTCTCAAGGGCCGAGGACTGAGTGTCAGCAGGAACTGGATCCAGGCTGGGGGTGGGGTGGGCCCCGCAGCCCAGGGAAGACTGCTACTATCCAGCGTAAGCACTGCAGCCCACCCACGTCTGCCTGTCTGTCCACCCCGACCCGCTCCAAGTTCCTGAGAGAAGGTGATCTCAGCCCACTCTGCCTGTGCCTAGGGCTGGCACTGGGGGCAGATGGAGCAGCCTGTCCCCTCTCTGTCTCTGTCTCTGTCCCTCTTTTGTGCTGGAGACTGAACCCAAGGCCTGAACTACATCTCTAGCCCTTTTTTATGTCATTTTGCATAGCCCAGGCCGGCCTGGGCTTGCCGTGCTCCTGCCTCTCTTCCGCTGCCTTTTAGCGCTCACGCGTGCTCCGCAGGTGCGGCTTCTCCAACTGGGGCACCCTGGGGCCCACAAGTTTCTCTCTCCCGGGCCCCTGGGGATAATTCATCGGCCACAGTGTTGGCGTGAGCACCGTGTTTGGTGACGTAGGGCACACGTCCACGCTTTGTGAGTTTTACAAGAACCCAATGAGGGCGAGTGGGCCAGACGTGGTCCTCACCCCGTAATGCAGGACAGAGACAGGGCTGGCGTGTGCAAGGCCCTTGGTTCTGTCCCCAGCACTGCGGGAAAAAAAGAAATTAAGTAACGTGCCCAAGATGAAGTGGTAAAATCAGGACTAGCATTCAGGCCAGACTTCAGTGTTTGCTTTATTTTGTTTCAGATTTCTTGCATGAATAAAAGACACGTAGCTGTCTGGTATCACACTATTCAGTTTTGGGGGTTGACTTTAAACTGATTTAACAACTTTAATTTCCAAATGTTTTAATTTTTGTACATTTATTGCTTTATCTAATTCCTAAGATAATATTTAATTTTATTTACTACTTTATATGCCATAATTGTGTAATTTAGGATTGACCAACTGTATCACACCTGCAGTGCTGCCTTCCAGGAAGCCATCTCACGAGGGCAGGGACGTTCGTCAGCGTCTTCACACATGAACTTTGACCCTGAGAACAGGTCCACATACTGCAGCCCTCGGTATTGAATCTACCTTTGATCTCACGCAAATGCACCATTGCAATCAACATCTAGTTGATGCGCTTTGTAGGTTGGCGCCCCCTGGTGTCTACTCCAGGAACTCCCCTGTCCCCCCACAGCTCCTGCTCACACGTGCATGCGCAGACACAGGTACACACACGTGTACTTTTCCCCACTTATAAAAAGAATTTTAAAAAAATAATGTTGGAATAAACTTTCTCGTATATAACAGTGTGAGGCAAGAACCTACATGGACCACTGATTTAGCTGGAGAAAAGATAAAAATTCTACAAGTTTACTCGGACTTCTAAGAGATTGGAGTGTTAATGTTTCATGTCATCTGGATTCATGGTGTCGCCTGAGTTCTGTGGTCCACAACAATCAGCCTGAAAAAGCTGTGGAGATTCAAATCCACAGTGCACAAGCGGACAGCAGATGGCTGAAGCTACGGTGTCTCACACAGGCCATGCCAGGATGTCTTCCCGGGGCTCTGTTCCAGCACCTGGTGCCTTTGCCCTCCAGTGCCCTCCTTCTGCACTCGGCTTTTCCCTTTCAGCTTTTGAGCACAGAGGCCTGAGCATCTTCCTAATGTTTTAAAAACAGATTATTGAAAATGTAAACGCAGGTAAGAAAATGAGGACAATTTTTATAGTCGGTTCACCTAGGTATGATCACTGTTAATCTATCAATATATTGGGCCTTTCCTCCCCCCAAATGCTTTAATTTTCTATAGCTACAAAAGTAAGAATAATTCAAAGATGCCTGTGATAGTAATTTCTTTTCCTCTCCCTGTGCTCTCTCCTCTCACACCCCAACCTCCACAGGTAACCACTGGTGGTTTATTGTGCATTAACCCGGGATTTTCTATGCATATAAACACTTGGATGTTATACATATGGTTCTGCAACTTTTCTTCTCTCAGCACATCTCAAGTATCAGTGGAGCTGTTTTTGATGTCTGTTTTGGAGAATCCATCATCATTTGTAAAACCAGGTTCCTCTGAATGGACACTGGTGTCCCCGACTGAACGTGCTGCTGGAAGGAAAAGCCTGCTGGAAGATGTGGTCACTGGTCTG